TGCACTTTATTTACTCTGCATTGTATAGTGCCTCCTGGCTAGCTCTGTGTCCTACTGATCCTCTCATGAACTTGATGCTGAGTTGCAATTATTTATTTTCAGATCCTTGCTGATACAATGTTTGTTACGGGGTAACTGCAAGAAAAAATTATCCACGTGTTGCTTACTTAACAACATGCCTTTTGAAGCCTTTAGGAGTAGACCTGAATGGAAACATTTCTGAAATTTTTAGCTAACATACATCTCCAAGAAAGCAGAGAATAATTTACCCTTTTTTAATACTAGTGAGTAAAATCACCCAACTTTCTATCTCATAGTTTCATAGTTGGTAGAGTCGGAAGGGACCTGAGCAGCTCATCAAGTCTGACCCCCTGCCCTGGGCAGGAAAGGATGCTGGGGTCAAACGATCCTGGCTAGGTGACTGTCTAGCCTCCTCTTGAAGACCCCCAGGGTAGGAGCGAGCACCACTTCCCTTGGAAGTTGGTTCCAGGTCCTAGCCGCCCTGACTGTGAAGTAGTGCCTCTGATGATTAGTCTGAATCTACCCTCTGCCAGCTTGTGACCGTTATTCCTGGTCACTCCTGGTAGTGCTCAGGGGAACAGGGACTCTTCCATTGCCTGCAGGTCCCCCTTGGCCAGTTTGTAGATGGCCACTAGATCCCCCATCAGCCTTCTCTTGTGGAGGCTGAACAGGTTCAGGTCCCTGAGCCTCTCCTCGTAGGGCCTGCCCTGCTGCCCCAGCTCATGCGAGTGGCCCTCCTCTGGACCCTCTCCATGCTGGCCACATCCCTCCTGAAGTGCGGTGCCCAGAACTGGATGCAGTACTCCAACTGTGGCCTGACCAATGTCACATAGAGGGAGAGTCCTTTTTCAACCCAATTCAAAACAACTTGAACTCCACGCTTCCCCAAATCATATATTTTTAAAATGCAGAGCGTCTAAAGAGATGACTGACTTCCAGTGGTCATATTGGTATGGACTGGGAGTTCTGGCCTTCTTCTTTAGCAGGGGTGGTGTGACACTGGCCAGGACCTCTTGAGACATATTGTAGAAGCAGGGCATTGGCTGCTGTGGTCACCCTCCCTGCTTTACCTGTGGCAGGTTAGGGTGTTAAGTTTATGCTGTGTCAGGGTTCATAGCAGTCTTATGTAGAGTTTAGATGATGGTTTGTATGGGATGGTTTGGGTAGGGATGATCTTGCCTCTAGCAAGAGGTCCCTTCCAATCCTACTTCTTTATGGCTCTGTGACAGTCCAAGGCAATTTGTAACTGAGAGCCACTCAAGAACAGCCTATTCTGCGGTTGAAGGTAGATGGTGCACAGTACAGGAGAGTTGGGGAGAGAAACAGGAGAGGGAATTTGGCCAAGAACAGCACTAAGAGCTTCTCTTTTTATGAAAGGTGCCATAACAGTCTTTGCGTTTGGGCAAAAGAAACAGTGTTTTCAGGTTTTTAACAGTTCCTTCAATACATAGTAACTAAAAAAAGGATGCCTGAGCCAAATCTACTGGGACGGCAGAGCCAAGCTATCTTACAGGAAACACCTTTTCCCACACAAAATGTAATTTAAGCTGACTGCTGCAGTACACTTCTGAAGCCTTGAATTTCACAAGATTCAAGGAGGGATTGGACTTTTATATGGGTAACAAGATTTGCCAGAGTTATGACTTAATTGTAACAAAAAATAATTTGGGGAGGGAACAAAAACTAATGTTACCAGGTATAAGTTAGTCTTTAATTATTAGGAAATGAGACCTTCCAAAGCAGGATTTCTTGAATTTTCCTTGGATATGGTGCTAGCTATCATCAGGGACAGGATAGAAGCCCAAATGGGCACAGTGTTTATACCAGCTCCCATCCTGCAGAGTGCTTTGGCTTGACATCTAGGCCAACATGTCAGTCCCTCAACACTAGGTCACTCCAGCTGGCTACTTCTAGAAATACCTTCAGTCAAAACTTTTACATTTTTCTGATTTAAAACGTATATTGTCACCACAAATCCGTAGTCACCAATGGCTTGCATGTTTGTGTTTGGGCAGAAGGGGACCCTGTGCAAATGTTACAACATTTGTGTGAATGTTGTTTTACCTGAAAACCTGACTGCAAAAACAGCAAGTTTAGGGTGTGTCGCTGATTCCCATCTAGTGATGGGAATCAGCGACGCACCCAAAACTTGCTGTTTCTAGACTCTAACAAATACCATAAACTTGATGCATTTAGTCTCTAACAAATATGGTGCGTCTGTCAGCCCTACAAACTCAGTCCAGGACAGTGAGCAGCTGTGACAGGGGCTGCTGGGAAGCAGAGTCTGGCTACTGCATTGCTGCAGTCTCGCTGTGCACCTGTGGGCAGTGGGAACAGCCACATGCACCACAGCCTGGGGCTACCCTGTGCATCTGGACTAGGCAGGACCAAGGGATCTGCCTTGGCAGGTCAGATATCCCCATGGGCCATATTTTGCCCACCCCTGGGTTAGAAGGAATGACATAATTGGGATAGGGGAAAAACAGGTAAAAGTTGCGAGAAGATAACTTACAGGCACAAGATACCACTTTCCCTCCCCCCCACCCTGCTGGTGAGACCTTTTTTTTACAAAAAAAAATCTTTATTGGCTGTACTACAGATAGCTGTACAGAGTGTAAACTTTAAAGCACCACCTGATATTTGAATAATTCTGGAGGAACAGGTATTAAGCACCTTCATATCAGCACATTTTTTTGGTATTTACAGTTTAAAAACATACCTGATTAAGTGTAGATATAACATGAATTACAAAAGTTATAAAGAGTTATACAAAAAACTTTAAAACATTCTATATAGAGTTTGGTATTTTTATGATAAATATATCATTAAAAGAGGAAATTATCACATAGCTTAGGCTCAAAATTGGCTCTGCTTTAACACTGTTTAAATCTGGAGGAGAATGGCCTGTGGATGTTAGCTACTGTGGGATAGGTATTATAATTTATTACTGTGATCAGGAGTTATTAAAAGGTAGCTGCTTTTATCCAAGACCTCCACAATCATGCTTTGTTTTGTTGCTGCAGATGAGCTACCTTGCCAACAGAAGGCACAGATGTGAAATCGCATCCCCAGAAATGTGCTGCTACACTACAAGAGGCAAATGATCTTTTCTTGGACCAATTATGTAGCTGGGAGAGAGGTTTGACAACCTTTCGGGCACAAACTGCCCTTTCTCAGGTCTGTTCTGAGGAAAGGTACATTGCACTCAAAAGCTTGTCTACCCCTATCCCCACCATACTGATGGTCCAAATAAAAGATATCGCCCCAAATGCTCACCTTTCTAACATTTCCCAGGCCATCAGGGCTACAACAACATTATAACCCCACTGCTACAGTATGTACTTTTTGGAACTGTGCTTTCAGATAAGAATGTGTAATTTCTTATGGAGGGACGGTGCAGGATTCCCCTGCCTGTTTCACACAAATTCTGTCAATGAAGACACACTTCACCTTGTGTGCCAGTTTCCAGTGCAGATGGTTTGCTCGTTTTAAATGGCACCTGAAATGGGAAAACTCTTTATTCACTTTGAAGCCCTGAGACAGAGGCAACACTTCTGACAATAAACTACTCAACGGCGGTGGTTGCTCATGGTTTGTGAAAGAACCCCACCCTCCCATAACCAAGTTTGCCAAATAAGACAGAAAATGATAGGAAAAAGCAAACGTACCATTTTGAGCTTAAAGAAGAGTATTGGGTTCTGTTTTTTAGTGCCACATTAAAAAAAAATGGAGAAGTTAGGAGGGTCCAGCAGTGGATGACAAAAATGATGAAGAGCTTGGAAGGCAAGTCATATGAGGAGAAGCTGAAGGAAATAAGCATCTTGAGTTTGCAGAAAAAGCTCTTAAGAGGGAACATGATAACAATCTCCAAATATCTGAAAGGCTAACAGAAAAATGAGGGAGAATGCCTTTTCTTTTTAGCTGTAGAGAACAGGATGAGGACCAATGGCTGGAAATTGCAGCAAAGTAGCTTTAGAAAAGATATCAGGAAGAACTTCGTCATTGTTAGAACAGTGAGGCAGTGGAACAGACTGCCCAGGGATGTTGTGGACTCTCCATGTTTGGAGGTGTTCAAGAAAGGACTGGATAAGCATTGGTCAGGGATGCTACATCTATGCTCTACTATGGCTATTTCCTATGCTTTGCGCCTTTGCTGGTTACCACATGGGGCTAGGAAGGATTTTTCCCCCCTTTCCTTTTGCTATATGTGTCAGGGGGCTTTTTTTTTGTCTTCCTCAGAAGCACTGGGTGTTGGCTGCAGCCCAGGCTGGGGATTTTGACTGGGGTGTGCCACTGCTTCTGCCTATACCAAAACCCAGAGGTTCCCGGCTAGAAAATCTTGTCTCTTTGCTCAGGGCCAGACTGACTGCTACATTTGGTGCCAGGAAGGAATTTTACCCCATGGTCAGATGGATACACTGTGGAGATATGTAGAAAGGGAGATATATAAAGCCAGAGATATTCAGAGCCGGAGATATTCAGACTGGTAGATATAGAGAGCTGTAGATATATGAAGGTG